TCTGTAACTAATGACTGTTTCATCAAGAAACCTTTATGGTACATCGTGCCCTAGACTTAGAAGTCAGTACCACCTCATGCTTCTGACTCTGTACGACCCGAACTGTCTACTACCAAAATGCTATCTAGGACTATGTTTGCAGACTTAAGGCCTAATTTATTGTTTTGCTGCACACTGTAGACTAGACCCATTTTTAAAACAACCATGATAACGCGTGATCACAGAACAGCTGGGGCAAGTTCATGAACCCCTGCCGCCACAGGTTTCTGCTCTGCTGCACAGATACAAATATTTCTATATCTTATTTGTTTTTACATAAAATTAGAATGCACAACATAAAAAAAAATAACTAGCAAGGTTTAATGGAAGTCACTGTCAAAGCGTTTCATGTTATTCAAGATTTGTGCAGGTCTTGTATTTAACAGACTCCAGAATGAAAGATGCAGGCTTTATTAGCAGCACTGGAAGATGCTGCAGAGGCGGAAATGGCCTGATAAATATTTAAAAGGCATCAATAGTTTAGGCACACTGCAGCTAATGATGGTACAGTCACGCTGACAGTGTAGGTAAACGTGAGTACTGAGGACTCTCTGATGCCAGCCCTCACTGAAGGAGAAATAGGTGCTTTTTCTGCTGCCTCAGCACCTTCTGTGTGTGAGTGTGTGTTCAATAATTCTCACTGACTCCACTGCACAAACTACACCTGCGAGTTTTACAAAGCACCTCTGACTTTTATTCTAATCAATGCACATTATAAATTATCTTACAGAATGAATGGCCTAAATAATTGTAAGTCTTTATAGAAGTTACCATGGTTCATATCCAAGTCACTAATAATAATTTAAAAAAGGAAGCTGGTGTAATAATACATGTCTCCGTTTATCACAGACATAAACCTTAATATCCTCCGTGTTGGGAAGTAACTGAATACAAGTACCAAGAATACATATTCAGAATACTAATTTTGAAGAGTTACTTTTTCATCTGGTGGTAATTAGAATACAATTTCTTTACTAAAATCTAAGTATTTCGGCTTGAATCTGCGAGATATCAGAGAAAAATAGAAAACACAGCTTTTGTGGGGGTGAATGTGCAATCTTTCCATCTCCAATTAATGATAAATAAATGGTGAAACAAACATATACCTATTTTTAATCCTATGATATGTTTTTACAGTTTAAATTAAATGTGATGTAAAAGTATTAAGAATACAGTACTCTAATTGGACCATGTTGGAATATGCTACAAAATACATTTCAGTTCAGATATTTAATATTATACATTTCCAAAGTATTGTTTCCACCCTAAATATTGTAATGCATGGAAAAAGTATTTCAGAACAGTAATTAAACTTTACACTTACTACATATCTAACTCTGAATCTCCTGTGCATGTGTAGAAGCCTGAGCAGATGAGAGCTGCGTGTGAGAGCTGAAACCACAGATTCTCTGATTAATAAATGAACCTTTTAGTGTGTCACGGTCTGTGTTGTTCTTCACTCACAGTGTTTGGCCCCCAGCGCTCAGCCACGGGGGCATCTTCAGTGCAGTGTGAGGGGGGTAGTTGTGTCCGGGGGCAATAGAGGGGGGCAGGTTTGGGACAAATCAATGACACATCTCCCAGGGACCAGTGGTGTATTCAGGGGCACCACTGGGAGCATATGCTGTAGCCTGGGGCCCCTGTGCTGGCCCTCTGTGTGTAGATAATGTTTAAATGTAACAAACGTTTAGCCTTTATTCCAATCAGTAGGAACAGACCTCCAACAGATTTAGAAACATGTGCTGTGTCAGGCAGCGCTTCAGACAGGGCTGGTTATGCTCACAACTTAAGGCACTTTTGCATTAACAATAAATCATTATTATTACCCAGTTTTAATTCATTAGAATTATCGTATTGTCAAGAAAATGCATTGTTAGACTGTATATCATAACATTAAAGGTCCAATATTACACAAAATGGATTCTTGTGAGCTTTAAGCCATGTTAGAATGATGTTACCTCCTCAAAAACATACCTGGATCTGTGTTTTCTTTCATTCAAACATGTTTAATTTATTCTGGGTTATTAGTCTGTCTGCATCTCCAAAGCTCAAAAAATAAATTTTGTTCAGAAGAGACAATTTCAGGGCTGAAACCATCCAAATTATTCTGGTGAAGGTGTATGGAGTTTAAAAACATCATGGAGCACTTTCTGTATTGCTACATGAGGGATGTAACAATAACCAAAATATTGTGATATTGTATCATCAAAAGTCTCACAATAATACCATGGGCTGTCACAATATATTGAATTACAAAATCCTTAGCTTAAATGCATTGTTTTATAGTAGCAATAGCTAATAAACATCGGGAACTACATATCCCATGATTCATTTCAGTGCAGACAACATGAAAAAATATGTTTTAAGTTAAATTCTTGGGATTATGACAATAATAATTCACACCAAACTCTCGTCAGGGTATTTTAAAAGCAAAAACGCATCCTATCTACACTTATATTATATAATCTCTGCAAAATATCGCAATAAATATCATACTGTGAGATACATATTGTGATAATATCGTACCGAGAGATTTGGATATCGTTACCTCCCTAAAGACATCACAATGTGGAACAGAGTGTTTTCTGTTTGAGAGAAGAATATGTTGAGTTTGTGTGTCAAACGTGTGAATGAAACAAAACACAACTTGAAGTATGTTTGTGATGAGAAAACAACATTATAGTCGTCCAGGTAGGATCCATGGCAAAATTTTGTCCATTTCACAGAACTGAATTTCTCCTTAGCTAAAGTTCAGAAAATAGAGTCATAATTTATACATTTACTTCCTTGGAAAAGTCTGTGTTATTGCTCCCATGCAGCTCATTAGTAGTAATAGTACAGCCTAATAGTTGCCTGGCATGACATCTCTCTGTATTTTCAATTGGGGAAATGTATATTCTGGATCCAGGCAAAATAAAAGTGCCCAACCCAATAAATCAAAATCTACCCTTTGTGACAAGTTGGCAAGCGCTACCCATTTTTTCATTTGAAGGTTTAATTGTTGCATTGTTCATTATTTATTACTTTGGAACGCACTGCAAGATTCCAAGGGCTGCATTGTACGAGACGCAATTATAAAGTAGGTATTTAATTCTCTGTAAAATTCTGACTCATTAAAGTGAAGAAATGTGCATAGATTTATTGTAGTCGCAGGGGATCCTCTTCACAAATAGTAAAAAACAAACAACAAGCATGTCAGGACAGAGGAGCAGCGGAGCCTTTGAACCAGCGGCTTCTGCTGGATCACAGTTTAATTAACAAGTGTGTGGAATATTATGAAACTCCTCGGGGAATGGAGAAGCCCTGTTGTTTACTCTGTGTGTGCTCTGTGTGTATCAGCATGTATAGTGTGTGTGCATTTGTGCTGCAACTCATGGGCGTGTTCATTGCACAATTGAACAATAATCCCTCATTATGTTGCAATTACTAAAATGTCTGACTTGAAATACTTTACGAGGCAAAAATATGTTTCTTAGCATTTGGTTCTCTATTGTAGTAGTTTGTTTGGGCTCATCTCTTTCTCATTTGGTATTGCAATTTTATACTTTAAAAGTCTTAAATTATGCTAAATTGACTTTTGTGAGCTTTAAGACATGTTGTAATGTTTTAGCCTCCTCAAAAACAGACCTGGAGTTGTGTTTTGTTTCATTATGCATTATTATGTCTGTTTACATCTCCAAAGCTCAAAATGCTCTGTTCCACCTTCTGATGTCATGTAGTGGTAGTTTTTTTGTGAGGAGGAAAGAACATTTTAACTCAGATCAGAAAATAGTAAAATTTTAATTATAATATACCTAGTTTAAGCATTTTAGGGTACATAAATGTAACTATATGCTTTACAGCTCTGAATGAAAACTGCAATTGGAATGGAAAAAACATATTAACATTCTGATAAAAAATAAAATAAAATAAATAAATATGTCGTTTAACAGGAACTGGATAGGGTAATTTGGGGCTTTTGCCACTGATTTAGATGACATAATAACATAATAATATAACATAGGGGTGGATTTATACAGCCTAAATCTCTGCATAAACTTGCTTCAATCCAAAAATCCATCCCTCATGCTTCTAGATGAGGAACAAGACCCGTTTTACCCCAGACACACAAACGCATCGCCTGTCTTTCTCTGTGTGTGCCTCTTTCACTACTTCTCACATAAGGATCCTATAAAGTTTCTGCGGTCTGGAAGGAGCGCATGCGCAATGAGTGCCCACGCGTGTGTGTGTAGTGCGTGTGTAATAGTATTATTATTGTGAATGGGGGCGTCGGGGCTCATGGCCGAGAGAGGGGGTGGTATTTTGAGAGTACAGTCAGAGTGCGACTCGACGGAGCCAGGAAGTAGACTGCTGCTGCATTCAAGTGCGCGCAGAACTGTCGTACTTTTGACTATGGATATTTGGGATAATTATTTGTGTTCATCTAACCCGCCAAATATTTAGAGAATAAAATTGTGTTTATGTTGAAACTTATATTATTTATTTTTTTGTAATAATGTTACAGATCTTATCCAGTTGAATAACCTACCACAGGAAGCCTATGGAATAATTCTCCAAATGTTCTTACCCTCATGGTATGTAAGGTTTAGGCCAACTAATAAAGTCCAATTATCTAATTAAGGGATTTCCTATGCGTAATGTGTCTTGAACAGTAAACTCACCAGTAAATTCACGATTAATTGGCCAGCTATACCAACTTTATTTCTTTTCAGTTTCAACATTACGCTTACTGATCTTAAAGTCAATTTGGATAGAAGAGCGCACTCACAAACATGTACTCACTTTGTGCCTCGTGTCTATTGTTCAGGGCTTATTAAGATCACCTCTAGTGGATGGCAGGACAGCGGCAGCTCTTGAAAGTTGCAGGTAAACGCGGGACAGAGTAGGTGGAGAAAACCTGTGGGCTGGTGCGTGTGCGAGTGAGGAGGAGGGAGGAGGGAGGGAGGTGTGCGCTACGGCCGGGGGGAGCCATATCTTCAGTGAGGATAGGGTCATTTAATAAAAGCCACTTGGAGCAGGAGCCGATCACACACACACACACTGTACACACGCCGCGTACGTCGAGTCAAAACACCGCCACACATAGCACCACACAAGGAAGAGGAGACAACACACACACGCGGAAGAAGAGAGCTCCTCTGAGTCACCGACAGTCACTCACTCAAAAGACCCAGCAACTTTTCACTGACTACTCCAGTCCACACTCGGAGAAGCGGGGAAAAGGCCGTGAAGCGGGCGAAGATGCCGCGGGTTGTCCCGGACCAGAGGAGCAAGTTTGAGAACGAGGAGTTTTTCCGCAAGTTGAGCCGGGAGTGTGAGGTGAGTGAAGCGCCTCTCCTCATACACACACCGTGATAACACACCGTTCATTCTGAGAGAGCACGGCGGAAACAAGGCAGCCGCGCTATAGACCCTGCACGCGACTCACTGACGTACGGCACTTTATTTGGTTTTACGCATGTCTTTTTTTAAAAACAACACAGAAGTCCTCATAAGCGCCAGAGATGAGAACAAAGAGAGTGATGTGCAGTTTCTCTCTTGTCTACAGGGTTGAGTTTAATTGAGTTGGTTCTGAATTGGTGAAAAGTCTTAAGAGCACATTTAAGGGTGTTAACCTGCAGCTACAGTTATGCGCACTATAGTCTACTACATTAATCTGACTACGAAGAAAGTTGTGATTTGATATAATGAGTTCCCCGGGTGGAGCATCTCATGGCTCCTTTTACCCTCACTGAGTTAAAAAAGAATTAACAAGTACTTTCTACCTAAAAAATCTCAAACGTGATGATGCTAAAAAGACCTAGGCTACATAATGCTGATTTCGTTTTAGCCTCTTCTTCATATTGATAATTGATAATGATTTAAACAGCCCTTTTTTATATGCCACATCTTTGTCAGTTGTTGATGGCCAAATTGCATTTAAAAAACAAATCAAAATTCCTTTAGATTACCTCTATGCTCCGTCCTCAGTGCTGATGTGACTGGACATCACACAACGTCTCACATCACAAGTTCAGGGTTGTACTAAAAATCTGTGTGTGTTTTTTTTTTTCCTACCTATAACAAAGTAGTAGCCAAGTCACAATTTGTTACTAATCTGTTAATATAGAAATATAGAAATCATTTGTGCATTGATTTAAACAAACTTCTTAGTTAATACACCATTATAAGCTCACTCAAAATACTTATGCAGAGATATTTCAGATAAACTACTCGTCAGACTGAACTCAGAGCCAGTGATAAATCTTTGCAGTTATTTTTTTTTAAAGTATTTTTAACTTGTAAAATGCATCTACTTCTAACTTGTAACATACTATCACAACGTAAATAATGTGAATAATAATACTAACAGATTTGATTGTGTTTAGATTAAATACACGGGCTTCAGAGATCGGCCACATGAGGAAAGACAAGCCCGCTTCCAGAACGCTTGCAGAGACGGACGCTCGGAAGTTGTGAGTACCCACAATGCACTTCTCCTTACACTTACAATAGCACAAATACGCTATAGACACAAGTGTGGTTTAGTCTGTTGCCTTTCTAAGAAACTTTCAGCAGTTAAACGCATTGTGTTTCCCTGGTGCACATCCCATCAGGAAGCAGCGGTGTTATCAGACCTGCAGAGCCTTCCTCCTCCTATATATTTTCTCCTGTTGTCATCATTGTCTGAGAGCTTTGTTTGGCTGCTAGTATGAGCTCACACCTCACAAACACGGACAGGGCAGTAATTTATGACCTAAAATTGGTCACCTAAAATAAATATCACCTGTCATGTCTAATACTGGTGTGTACAGTAACCTCACAGAGACATGGAGTTGCTAAATGTGAAAATACAATAGCACAGTTTTTTGTTTGGTAGTTGTTGGCAGCTTACTGTTTGTTGTTGCTGTTAAAGATGCACTGCATGACATTTCTAGTGGAGGGTCTGCCACCTGCTCATCTCCATGGAAATGTTATTGCTTTGTCAAGAATGTTCAACAGTATAGATTAAACCTAAATCTATCACATGGGAGAAAAGCAGGTTATAGCACTACGGAACATTACAGTTCAGATCTGTGGAGAGTCACCGCTATTCACAGTTGAAACACTCGTAATGAATCAATGCTAGCTGGAAATGTTTAATGTCAAACCATGGAACATTTCCCGCAAAGCAAAACAAGTAGGTTGCAGACCCTCCACCAGAAAAGTTGCGCAGTGCACCTTTAAAGTCCGAGTGTGACTTGACAATGACGAGATTTATGTGATTTTCAAACCACACTGAAGCAACCAGTTCGTCCCATTTCTTTCCCACATGGAAGGAAAAGCCTCCCGTAGGTAAAGTTGTACAGCCAAACGTAACATTCAGTTTGATCCATGTTACCCAGATGTGTTCTTTTGATTCTCCTGAACTAAAGATATTTCACGGGACATAAATTTTCGTCAACTGGTTTTGGGAAGGAGTGGACTCTTGTGTAAGTGTAGGTTATTTTATTAACTCAGAAATAAAGTATAAAGTTGGAAAGAAAAGAAAAACTGGAAGAAGAGACCTCAAAATACATTAAATTGCCATGGTGTTGCATTTGGCCAGCCAAAAACATCTCTATAAGATCATTAATTATGTTTGCAACATCTTTTTTCTTGCTAAAATACAGCCGATATGGCCTTATATAGTCTCTGTCTTAGTGATTGCCTACATTTAAAGGTACAATATGCAACTTTTCTGGTGGAGGGTACGCAACCTGCTTGTCTCCATGGAAATGTTGTTGCTTTAACATAATAAACTGTCCATGGAGTCAAGTAAGTCTGTCATGATAATTATCATATTGACTTATCATTTTGGCTAATTATAGGTTCAGTCTGTTTTTTATTTGTTGTAGCTCAGGCCTCTTAATGACACAGTATATTTAAAAATGGTTTACTGGGATTATCTTGCTTTATCGTTATTGTATCAGAGGCATAAAGTAGTTCCAGTATCATCATTAATCACAGTATATATCTGTAGAAATATGTCATGCTTCAAAATTTTTGTTTTGTTACATTCCAGGACAAGTTACAGGTCGGATATGTGGAGATGTGACCCTGATCACAGTATGAATGCATTTTTCAAGGCAATTAAAACACTTGAAAAGATAGAATAGATAGAGATATAATAGTCCAATGCTTTAGCGTGGAAAAATCTCACTGAAAACATTTGGATGGCACACCCTCTACCAGAAAAATTACAACTTTACGTTACACCTTGAACTGCAGAGGTTTTCGAATTTGCCAGACTTTCATATTATCAACCTGTTTTTATTGTACCCAATCAGTGTAAGCTAATAATTATTTAAACAGCGGTGACCATGTTGTAAATGAATGTGACACTTATATCACCGCTGCCTTTTTAAAATTCAAACGGATGATAATGTTAGAACAGGTCTGAACGCATTCAACCTTTCTTTGTGTAATTATTGATTGTGTAAAGTCAGCAGAGTGGCTATAACATCCTAAATTACTTCTTTAACAAAAGGTGAAATGAGGCAAAAGGCCTAGAGCGACTGGCACCTAAACACACACACACACACACACACTGCTGTATACAGTCAAGTGTGAGGTATTTTTCACAACATCACTGCGGGACGGGGCAGGTGGATTTTACTTGTACTTGTCTTGTAAGTATGGTGCGCCCATTAGTCTTGATAAGGCTAATAGGTTTGATGAGAGAGAATGTTTGAAGCAGCTCTAATATCATATGGCTCATTTATCTGTCGACCAAACACTGCTGAACTACTCCTGCTATTTTAAATATAGGCCAAACATATAAGAGGTACAAGCAATGGCCTATGTGACGCCATGGTGCACACTAGTTGTATTTAGGCTTGATTACTCTTGTCATTTTACTGTTTTAACACTTCTAAACATTCTATACAGTATAAGTAATCATATTTAGTAGAGATAAACTATTTTGCCTTTTTGGCGTATTGGCTATTGGCCTTAAATCTTGAGTGTAGTTTGATATATTGGTCAATCTGCTGCTTAAAAAATACACATAAAACTTTATATTAACACTTTTAATACAAAGACATAGCTGCACAAAATGTGACTATCCAGCACTGTTATAGGTTGGTGGTAAAAAATGCTTGAGTTTGTTGTAAATTTTAATTACATAATTTCAGGAAAATAATCAAAATCTGCCCGAAATACTGGGCCAAAAAAATCATCAGAGCTTTTCACCACCAGTTGCTCTGTATGCTAAACAATCAGTATTGGTACCATACACAACACATTGTTTTTTTTAACATGTTGAACTCTAAATCTTGACGTTAGCAGGTAAACATTTTGACTAAGACCAGTTTGATTGACATTTTAACTATTAATACATTTTATTCTTTTGAGGGTTGGTGATTATTTTGCTACACAGTTAAAATTATAAATTAGAGCACACGTCTCTATTTCAATTTATTTAGTACATTGACATTCAGAACATATTTAAAGGTCCTATAATAAACAAAATTGACTCATGTGAGCTTTAAGTCATGTTAATGTTGTTACCTCATCAAAAACATACCTGGAGTTGTGTTTTGTTTATTCACACATGTTTGAGCAACCCATTTTTATTAATCTGTTTTTATCTCCAAGGCTCAAAATGCTGTGTTCCACCTTATGATGTCATGAAGCGATAGTTTTCAACAGATAGTTTTTACTTTTTATTTAGTAGAAATTGGAAAGTCCAGGTCTGAAATTGTCCAAATGATTCCACTGAAGATGTAAAGAGTTCCAAAGCAGAGTGGAGCACTTCCTATATTACCGTGAATGAAACAAAACACAAGTCCAGTTATGCTTTTGGTTGAGGAAACAAAATTATAACATAGATCAGAATTGCCGTTCCCAGAATTCCTCCACACACACGGACACACACTCACACTTTAGTTTATGTGCGCGTTTAAGTGTTTTGTCTCACAGGGCGACCCCAAACGTCCAGGATTGATCTGATAAATGGGACGATAATTCAAAGTAAATTATCTCCAGCTCAGCTCATTAGAGATGAGTCGCTGCTAAACTACTATCGATTTTTATGGCGCTCTGCTTTCTCTCATCTGTCCAATGTTTTATTTGATTTCCTCTCCTCTTTGTTCTTCTTCTATCTCTCTACTGTTTCTACTCTCCCCATCTCCCTTCTCCTCCTCAGCACTAGTAGGCAGTAAATGAGTATCAGATGCTTGTAATCCAATACTTCAAATCCAGCAGAAATGATCGACTGGGGTCCTTTAATTTCTCTTTCTTTTCATTCCTTCTCTTGTTTCCATCGTCCGTCCAGGTTTGCCTCTGATAAGGGCCACATTTGACAGGGCGCATAATTCATATCCTGCTCACCCTAATGCCTTTAGTATTGATCAGTCTCAGACACTACAGAGACCTCCCTCTCGCCAACACACAGTCAAAATAAAGAGACATACATTTCCAGGGCCTCAATTACGCTATTTTCTGATCTATGTTATAAAGCTGTTTCCTCATCGAACACATACCTTGTGTCAAGTTGTGTTTTGTTTCATTCACACATGGTTAACAGACAAACCCTGCAAATGTTGAGCTTTTTCTCTCAACCAGAACCTGTTCCACCTTGTGATGTCATGTGGTAATACAGGAGGTGCTTTATTGTGTTTGTAAACTCCATACACCTTCACTACAATCATTTGGATAATTTCAGCCCTGGAATTGCCAATCTTTACTAAACCTTACTTTGCTAAAAGGCTGCTGTTAACTTAAAATCTACAGCTTCATGACGTCACAAGGTGAAACTGAGCATTTTGAGCTTTGGAGATATATGCAGAGTTACTAAAACATGCGTAAATGAAACAAAACACAATGCCAGGTATGTTTTTGAGGAGGTAACAGCATTTTAACATGATTTAACGTGCATTTTCTGTGGCAGCTTAATTCATTGTTTTATGGTGGTACTTCACTCTCCGCATTTGTACACTGTCATCTCCATTAGTGCTCAATGTCATTTTGCACAAACAAGAATGATGTCATAATGTGGTAGTGTGAGCATTGCCCTAACATTAGCCAACCAAAACAAACAGCCCCATGACCTAATTTGTAGGTGCACTGCTCTATTGTCATTATACATTTTGGGTGCTTTCATTGTGTCCAGTATTGTCGTAGTCATCTGAGCCAGTCATATCTTTCACTTTCTGTCTTAAAAGTGTATTTTATTCTTTTATTTTATGCCGTGTTATTCATACGGGTTTGTGTATTCATGCATATTTAGACCGCTTTCCTTTCCAGCTCTCGAAATGCTTACTTTAACCTTTTTTAGGGATGCACTGGCCCAGCTTTTTCATTTCTTATACTGATTCTAATACCATGGCTTTATATATCTGTCAATACTCGATATCAACCAATAAAAGTGAGGGACTCAAAACAGCATTTCTTTAATTTTGTTAAAACAGAAATAAAATGAAACGGAACTGATCCAAATGTAACTGTTATTTTTCTCTCAAGTAACTACAGAACAAATTTGTGTAAACATAAGTTCAACCTCTAAGTAGTCAAACTGTAAATACTATTATTACATCAATTTATACTGTATGCTGAACCAGGATACCAGCTGAACCAATATGTGGAATACATTTTCCAATCCAGTAGATTTTTCAGTATCACTGCTGTTTTCTATATCAGTATCGAATCAGTGCATCCCTACCTTCTTTGTGATATCATTAAGTATTAAAGGACCTGTCAAATTTTGATTTTAAATTCCATCAGCTTTGCCTATCTGTGTCCCCATGATATGAGGTAAACATGTTCAAATCAGAGCTTTTACTGATAACAAGTCTAATGCTGATTCATTCTTAATTGCAAAAATGTATGTATGTTATAATTTGGTGTTTTGGCTCAGTGCTGAAATCCACTTGGTTAAAACCTAAAAGGACTTTCTCTGAGCCTGAATCCTCACTACCTAAACCCCAGCACCTGCAGCCAGTCATCACTCAGTGCTAGTGCAGCCTCTGCAGCTCAGTGATGGAATTCTGGAGCTTTCATATGAGATTTTACTGAGAAAACTTGTCCTCTGATGTCAGATTTAGACACTGCAACTTCAGTTCTGATTTCAATACAGTTTCTTTAATTCAAGATGTTTGTAAAGTGCATCTCCAAATTAATTCTAAAAATCTCATTGGCACACAAATAAGCAGAAGTTGCTTCTCAGCAATAATTGTAATAATTGCTGGAGCTGTAAACTGGAAGATCCTGGCTCTGAAACAGCTTTCCGCATTGAGAGATATAACTAATGCCTTTGTGGAGGTAGAGAGGGAATGCTTTTAGTTTTGGTTTAGCTTCTCGGAACAATGTCTGGCTTTCATATCTCGTAAGTGGTCAGACAGAGGCTTGATACCTGTAATTATGGATTGGATCAGCATAACAAAAATGCTATCCTCAAAGCTATTGTACTATGTAGCATAGGTAAAAAGATCCATCAAAAACAGCCCATTTTAACTGACTCATTGTGGTTGGATTTGTAATTTACGCATACTTGCAATAGCACAACATTATGTGCAAACCCAGCTTAATCTATACAATTATATTCAGTCAGTCACATTCATAATTTCATCTTTGGGTATTTAGAGTCAAAATACATTTAATTTTCATGAGTAGAAGAACAGATTTATTTCCATGTTAAGTTAGTCTTGATGTTTAAACGGCCCTTATTACACTATTTTCTGATCTGGTTTCATGATGTTTCCTCATCAAAAACATACCCAGAATTGTGTTTTTTTTCATTCACATGTGTTTTGTTTCATTCATCATTCACAAATGTTTAACACACAAAACCTTCTCTCAAACAGAAAACAATCTGATCTACCTCGTGATGTGATTGTCAGTCTCTACTGAACAAAAGGTAAATGGTAGCTGCTAACTTAAAAACTACCATTTTCAGCGGTGGACAGACTAATAATGCAGTATTACTCAAACATGTGTGAATGAAACAAAACAAAACTCCAGTATAACATGACTAAAAGCTCACAAAAGTCCATTTTGTGTGATATAGCAATTAAGTTTGATATGAAATTAATGAATTAACCTCCTGAATTGTTTGTTTACAGGCCTTTGTAGCAACTGGTACCAACCTTTCCCTGCAGTTTTTCCCAGCCAACCTCCTCGGAGACCAGAGGCAGGTCCCCACCAGAGAGTACGTCGACTTTGAGCGGGAAACGGGGAAGGTAGGATGGTCACGTGACACCCACTCACACCCCTCACATCTGCAAAATACTCTTTGCTTATGTCTGTGTCGTAACTATTTTCACTATTTCTCTTTCTGTTCCTCTTTCATTTCTTTAAAAGGTCTAGTCACGTACTCTGTGACAAATTTTATATCCAGCTTAGGTCCAAATTGTGGAGGGCTCTTTTACAGGATTGATCTTGCCTTCTGTGTGAATACTGACAGCACTTACAAGAAGCATTGATCAGTTTGCACTTCAGCTCAGCGCTAAACTAGTCACTACAGGCTGACTATTGGATACACTATTTCAGATACACTAAAGCAGTAGTGGAACGCAACAAAGTAAAAGTAGTAAAGTACTGTACTTAAGTAAAAAATTTAGATATCTATATTTTACTTACTTACTCACTATACTTTTTACTTTTACTTTACTACATTTGAGAGCAGGTATCTGTACTTTCTACCCCACTACATTATTTAACAGGATTGAAAAGTAAAAGTTAAATTTCATTATAGTTTGAGACCTTCTGATGGTTTATTTACAAAAAAAATGGTTGGAAAACTATGGATTCAGTTGTTTCTGTTGAATAAAACTGAGCACGAATCTTTATCAAAATTACTACATTTGAATCATTATTAGATCTCAAAATCTGTGTTTTAAATGGCTATTTTAATATTTAAACGGGTATTTCTTTGCCCTGGTATCTGAACTTAAGTAACAAAATTGGTTCCTTTTTCCAACACTGCACTACACATATTTTTATAAATTATTTGTGTAAACCTTGCCTATGCTTTTCATTTGAATATATAAAGAGTCTCCATAATACATATAAAGTTAGGCGAGAGTCCACAAAACGAATCCAAATTTTTCCCTGATACTGATCCATCATGATTTTCAAATTGATCTTATTAAGCCTTTTATACACGTATAACGATGGCTTTCATTATTCATTCCTTGAACATAAACAAGACAGACTTTCATTGACTGCCATTTAAAACAAAAAGAAAATTATCTGATTTCTTCGCATGCTTTTACTGATTGCGGAAGACTTTTTGATTGAAAACATCCGAGCTGATCACTGTTGATTAGAAACGACTGAATCTCTATTAAAATTATTAACTGCACAGCCCTAACTACATCATATCCACAAAATCCTACCGCGATGACGAAGCAGCTCTTTTGCATGGTCACTCTGAGCTGTTGTGGGACTGGTTTGCATCTTACATTAGTTCATTTGCTATTTGTAGTTAAAAAACACAATGGAAAAACATGTAGTAAGTGTAATAAGTTTATGTAGGCAGGTTTGAAATACAGGCAGGTCTGAAGTTCAACAGCGAGAGATACACGACTATATTCATACCATACTCCATACAACTGTACAATAATTCACCCTTATGTAACAGAAGACCTTATGTCCTGTCAATCACTATTTCGTCTTTTCACTGTTTCTCATTACACCCTCTTGTATTTAGATATATAGAGATATATTTGTATTACTGTATTTCTATATTTTACTTTTACTTGTCCATGTACGTTTATATAATTTTGTCTTATTTGACACCAGTCTCTTGATATTTTTGCTACTAATTTTGGATTTATTATTATCATTATGTTGTTGCTCTTTGTTATTACATTATATTGTGATGTGTGAGCTACTGTGTCCAAGTAATTTCCCTTGTGGATCAATAATGTTTGTCTAAGTTTAAGTTGTTGCAATATGCACCGGCCAAAATTCAGTTCTAATTCTGACGCAAATAAGCAAAGTAAAGCTGGATCTGTACTGCCAAGAAGCATGTACGGATAAGAAAATGAGAAAACAAAATAATGTTTTGTTTTGATGTGGGGTTTACGGAGTCCAGAGGTGTTTGTGCATGATAATTGTCTCCCCTGGCGCTAAAACTTTGGCCCTAGTGTGTGTCATCCACGGGCACTGGTCAGCTGAAATGAATGCCTGCTGACGGCTCATTAAAATTGCATTCTGGGAAATCGATGGACCTTTATGGCCTGGGGCTGACGTCCTAATCTCACACGCTTAATTATTTAACACAAGTGCCCCGATAGTTTTAACCGGGGACTACTGTGTGTTGATAGGCATTTTGTGAACGCTTGTGAAGTCTTGCACAAAGAGACAGCACTAGTGTGTGTGGGGAAGCTGGAGACTAGACATTGTGTGTATGGATGTAAGATGATACCAGTCCTTTGTCACCTCCGCGCTGCTCTCAGATCTATGAAGTTTTAATGAGGCCAGGAGCAGTCAATGTAAAGCCTCCCACACACACACCCACAAACATACACACACACACAGGCTTTTCGGCACTCTTCTGAAGACTCTGATAACTGCTGACAGGAGTCTATTTCATTGCGTTGTCTCCTTCTTTTGATCCCAATAACTGAAATCATGCTATAGAGTTGACAGGGTTACCTCAGATCATGCACATGCTTTTTAAAGTGCCTCTCCAACAAAAGACACAAGTGTAGAGTTTCAGTCCGCACTTGTATGCAATATTCATTTCCATTCCCAGTACAGATTGTGGTTTACTGTTCGGAGCCTCTGTGGATGCTGTTTTAAAGAAATCTGACAAGTCAAATTCTGTTTAATCTGGTTGAGCGAAGATTTTGCACATAATGTTCACTTTTAGCTCTTACGCTGTCAGGTTTAGTCCAAATGACATGAAAACTGTAATAAATAGTAATGTGTTTATGTAGGCTGTATATATTCTATGTTTAAAGACCTTGTATTTTTTTGTTTTCTGACACCTAACCAGATCCAACCTTAAAATACAGAAATCGAAGTTATTTAACGGTGGACTTTACTGGAGTGGGTCTGCAAGATGTTTGCCTCCATGGAGATGTTAATGCTTTTGGTTTTTCCACAGTAAGGTTTTAAACTAGTCTGTCTTACATTTATTCAACTACAGGTGTTAAAGTGCTCAAAAATATCCATTCTTACTGTGAGTGGCGTCGCCTTAGACAAATCTAACCTGTAATTTGGCTTGCAAGTCTCCATGGTGATTCATAAATTTATGGCCATACTGTGGAACATTCTAGGCACATGTCCATGGAGACAAGCGGATGATGGACCCTGCAAATAAGTTACACTATACATCTTTAATAGATATTTAATAAAAACACACTAAAATGCTACAAATTTATACTTTAATTCTACTTTTAGTATGCTGTCTCTGTAGTAGGCAACTGTATTAGTCATTTACCTAAAAACAGACTGACAACTTTAACTTGAGTACTTCTCTGTGGAGAGTTGAGTGCGGTAAATCCGACTAAGCTGCTTTTACGTTTCATATTTTCTTTCTTTCAGCTCTCCTGCACTTCCTGTGTTTATTATTTTTGTGGGATATTTTATGACTGTTCACGGTACATGTCTTCTCCTCATTGGCTCTCACTCTCTTCTTTCCATCCTCTGTATTTTGCCTACTCCGTACCCCCCACCGCACGCCCTCCCTCCCCTTGTTAAGTTCTTCTTCTTCTCCAAAATTCAGGCGGTGCCAAAGCCAGAGGGCAGCGTGGCCAGGTTAAACATGGCGTCTCTGTGTGTGCGCAGAGACACAGAGGAGACCCACAGACTCTCAGTGTTGATACAGCCTAATGGGAGCCAGCTGTGGAGGTTAATTTTAGTCTTAGCAAGTAGCGAGGAGTGCCCATGCCCTTTCACTGACCAGCTCATTTGTCAAAACCAAGGTGCAAAGAAAGAAAGATAGTGAAAACTCAGAGCATGTGGCTTTTGGAGGTGACAAATGTCTTTAATACTTTTAAGCTCACCTCATTATGCAACGAATATGGTTTGTGTTAAGCAGTGCAGATGAAAAATGACCTACTGTAAGGCTTAGACAAAATTTAAAAACTTACTAAAGATTATTATACAATGTTTTATGTGGGGAGGTTGTGCATGTAATTATAATATTATTAAATCTGTTGCAAACAAACAACTTTGTGCCCCAGAAAATTCTTCCACCACAGCAAGAAGGTCCTGAAGGTGGGGCCTTTTCAGTGGGTCCTCCACTTTTCTCTATAAACCTAAACGATGCACAATAGGCTATCAGATAGGCTATAGAGACATTATCTATTTAAAATGTTGTTATTATTTTGTTATTAGTTTATATTATGCTTGTTCTGGATTCAATGTTTACACAAAACTGTTATTAAATATTTATTTTAATAAGAAAAGGTTTAACATTTCATATCTCGAAAGAAGAGAAAACATGCAGATGTTGTTGAATTTTTTTCAATAAATATTTAGTTTGGTCCACGACTTAGTCCCAATTTTTAATTTTGGCGGTCTGCGAATTTAAGTTTGACACTCCTGGGCTAAAACATCCAGCTAGGTATAGTTCTGACCAAGCCTAGCTCACAGTGTGCCTGTTGTGCCTGGAGTTGTGTTCTGTTTCATTCACACGTTTGAGTAATCCTTCATTATTAGTCTGTCTGCATCCCCAAAGCTCAAAATGCTCTGTTCCAACTTGTGACATCATGTATTTGTAGTTTTCAAGTTAACATCTACCTTTAACTTTTAGTTAACGGACGACTCCAGGGCTGAAATCATGATTCTAGTGAAGATGTATGGACTTTAAAAACTCAGTGGAGCACTTCCCGTATTACGACATGACATCACAGGGTGGACAGAAGAACTCTTTGACAAGGAAACAACAAAAAAGAAGAAAATAGTGTGATATGGGCACTTTAACGTACAGATTATTAAAAAAATGTAGGCTTGAAGTTGAACAGGCCAGTTGATTTTCTTAATACTCATGGAGCTGGTATTACAGTATGAATCGTGAGATCATTGCAGTATACGGCTGTCATTACTATAGCCTAATCAGCACTATTAATATACATGGCTATAATTACCCAAGAGCTTGGGCGTGTACCCCTTCTGCCCCAAATGCTCAGTTGATTTTAATCAGCAGCTTCATGATGTTCATTATATTACTATTTTAAATGCCTGTCACTATAAATACCATATCGAATTATCGTTTAATACGGGA